TCAATCATATATGTCACAACACTTATATTCTTAATGCCTGTCTTATATTCAATCTCTTTGTGAACGGTTGCAGCAGGTAATCCCTTCTTGAAGACACCTTCCGAACCTTCTGACGCATTTCAATCATCACATTTAAAGGATCAATCAGGTTTGTATTCAACGTAGATGTTTTGAACGTAGATTTGGTGGAAAGTATTTGTGATCAGCCAAATAGTTTCAGCGGGTTGAAAGAGCGAATTCACGTTTAAAGATCATGTACCCAGACCATAATTGTCACCATTATACTTACACCACTCCACTGAGACGCAATACAACAACGTAGGCATATATCCTGAAAGCTTAATTCAAACTGACATCCCCAGTGAAAATGACGCGACCTTTGTAATGTATGTATGACGCCATAAAGGTCTACAGATGGAAAACCTAGCATTTTGACAAGGTGGACATGACGTTAAAGTACGTGAAAGAGTATTGCCAAAAGCCATGCCATGTTGATGTTACTTAATTTTGCAATACACTCTCAATATTGAGATATATTGACACACTTCTGTAAATAATGTGTGAACTGGACTATTTAGCAACGTTGATGAAAGTAAAATCAGTATTTGAAGTCATGAAACGGACGGGTTTGCGTAAGAGGTGCTTCTAAATAAATATCATTTTTTATCAGTATTTCGATCAACATAGAAAACACTGACTGTCCAGTCAGAATACGGCATTATAAAATGTCAAGGTAGAATATTGTGGAAGCCCTTTTACTTGTCGTTTTATTGCAATTTAGAGGTCCCGTGCAAAGAAATTTTAGCTAGTAACATATAGGTTCCCTTCTGTTTTACTCCAAGATTTACGTGTATCACATCCACTGTACCTCCGTACCAGTTGGCACCCCGGCACGGTGCCGTTACATCGCGACATGCACGGTGTTCACCGTGGGTCGTTCTAGCTTCAGAATTTACTCATTGCCAGTAAATCTAAAGAAATATGTTCTGTTCCAAAATTTGCAAAGCGCTTTGAACAGCGTGGTTGAGAGACTAAGGATCACGGTCATACAGACTCCAACTTTCATTTCGTTCATAGCACATGAACGTTACAGTTGATTGACAGAATAAAACTTGACTCATGTTTTCAACAATCTAGGTTTACGTATAATATGTATATAAATACATTTCAAATGTACCGTGAAGTGATTGCTAAGCTGCTTACTTTATAACGTTCTAAAATGCATTATTTCAGCAATGAACACAAACAATGGTTGTTATTGTAATAGCCAGATTTACCAATACATCGTAAAACCAAGATACGCTCATCCTAATCTGAAGATACCTAATACGTGTGTTTATGAACCTGACAGTTGGTACCTGCAATCTGTGATGCTGACCTTTACGCCGGGGTCGCATGTATCCTTCAACACAGCCAGAGAAATACTCACCTGCACATTTGTTACACATCCCCGATGCTTGAGAATATGTATGGTCATCATGGCTATCCAAAAATATGTCCTTATTGAACCAATGGTGTTTGTACCTGTACAGTCCGCTCCTGTCCACCCTGCCTCACACCTGGTGTCACAGCGCCCTGTTGAGTTACAGGAAGAGTTCCCCTCACAGTGTCTGGAGGCACAGGTCTTGATACAATCAGGCCCGTAGTGCTGGCTGTCACAGGCTAATAACATAAAAGCAAATCACTTGTTCAACAATCAGGAGATAAATACTTCATTTTGTGTGATGTGATGTGACTATTCCAAGTGCCTCTTTACTATTTGAAATATGTTTCAAGTAGCACAATACAAGTTTGTTATATACCTGTAGATTCAGGTTGTGTCCGACCTGCCTTACATCCACATAGTGCCCTGTTGTGTTACAGGATGGGTTCCCATACAATGTCTGGAGATACAGGTCTTGATACAATTATCTCCATAATGCTGACTGTGTACTATCGATATGCACTGCATTCATCACTACAGACCAAATCCTCTTGGAATTGGCTTACAGAATCATACCTGTACAGTCGTTTAGTGTCCACCATGTCTGACATCCCCTGTCACAATGCCCAGTTGTGTTACAGGAAGAGTGTCCCACACAGTGTCTGGAGGCACATGTCTTGACACAGTTTGGCCCATAACGATGAGGTTCACAAGCTGCAACATGAACAAATATGTATACAATCATTATTTTGAATTGACATCTTTAATTTATTTATTAAAATTAAATAATGCACTAATTGATTGACAGTTTCTCTCAGGACATAGCAAGCTGCAATTATGTCCATACATGTAGGTCCCAGGGTAACAGTCTGTAAAATTATAGTGATATCGTCATATGTGCAAAGTTGGATCTTGATTGACCTAAGATGTACATCCCGAAGGTGACGTGTGTGCATATGTACACAAACTACACGTTCAGCTTTCTGTACACAGTAATCTACGTGACAATGCAACGTTTAAGCATGTGTATCTGTCTATTTATACAGAAGAGTGATGATGGTGTACCTTGTTTACAGTCGACCCCTGTCCACCCAGGAAGACATCCAGTGTCACATGACCCTTTATGCCGGTCACATGACGACGGAGCAGCAGCACATTTTCCACATGTCTCGTTACAGTTGACGCCATAACGGTCCTTATCACACGCTAGAAATGAAAGGTATCGTACGTTTTCAGCGTGTGTTGATCAGAATCATTCGGAACATGAGGTAAATGGTTATCATTATACATTTTATTATTAAGACATAGGTATTCAAGTTTACATCATTTTTCTCATACAAGAAATATATTCATATTACAGCAATAATGTTGTTAGTTCCTTACCAGTAGAACAGTTTTGTCCTTGCCACCCTGGTCTTCAGTCACCAGCACAGATCCCACTGAATCTGTCACAGGGCCCGTCAGAACAATGGCAGAAATGGTTGCAAAGTTCGCCAAAGGTTCCGTGACTGCAGACTTAAAACAGCATTGGCGTTGTTCATGTCTCTGCCTTAAACATTTGGTAGTTAAGACATAAGAACTGTACGTTGATTGTTGAAATTACAGATGTTATTATGAATGTAAAGAGATCTGAAAGTCATAGATGTTTTCACTTTGATGAAACACATAAACCCTAGAATGCCCCTGACCATAATCAGGCGATCAGAGGATGAATTATGCACAGTGAGCTGTGGAATATTGACCCAACTGACGACTCCTGGCATCCGGGCATCAAGAGCTTGAATACTAGTATTTCAAAAATCTTATGCGTGTTACAAGTATTAGTCTATTTATGTAACATGGGTTCTTTCTACGAAGGAACAATGTCTTTAGCAACACATCACAGAGGGGCAAACGAATCTCAAAATATCCTGTTGCATAACACTGCCTCCTGATTAAACAGTCATGGTGGAATGGCATATCTGATTCAAAGATAGATCAACAAAACAAACAAATGTTTATCAATACCAAATATTTCCACCTCACACAGATTTAGTGTCTCTGTGCTGTGTGTGATGGTGAAGTATCTCCCTGTGCCGTCACACGTCACGTCGTACACGCTGTTGTCTGTTTCAGCTGTGTCAGAGGGGAAGGTGTAGCAGGTGACGCCGGGTATGGAGCTGCTGGAATTACTCAGGGAGAGAACAGCGGTTTGGAGTCTGTCAATAGCTGAAATGGTGATCATTATAAGGCGACAAAAAATCATAAAACATATCTGATAAAAGTCGTTTGTGCGATTCCGACTATATCATAAGCATGTATGTAAGACATAGTTGTCCCCTTTTAAGAAATTATGTTCTCAGTTTATATATCCTGTGTATGATATGTTAGTAAAAACTATGTGCCTTTCATATCTCATCAAAACTAGCAAGATTTTTGTGATGATTTGAGTGATGAAGCATTCACACCAACGAACACACACCAAGCATTTGTGAAAACTGTGATAGCATATTGTTGATATTATGTCTTGCATCCAGTTTATGTAGAATTCAGGAACGCCATAGCTTTGTGCGTAAATAAAAATGGTCAATGCAAGGGAATAACCAGTTTAGATTAATGCTTAACAGATTCAATTTGGCGGAAAGGGCAAAATAGCTGTAAAAATAATGATTATATCAATGGAGCGCTGAAAATACGTGGTGACACTAAATGTTCAAAATACATCGTACTCTGGTTCTTCCATTCCACAGAGGAGATTCTGAATCATCAATAAGAATATAGTAATTCTTTGAGGCAAATATTAAGGGAGACAGCTATTGTTTGACAAATGTAAATTCAAAGGGGAACTTGAACTGCAACGTGTAAATTTCGGGGAATTGTGTTCTTATTCCGTTTGACTTTAGTCATGAATAATTAAAATATGACAAACGAGGGGACACAATATCCATGTAGGTGCTAATATTCAAATAGACGCCCACTAACAAGGTTCCTATCAGAGTCTTCAGGATGATGCAGAGTAATTCCCTGAAATGGAATAGTTCGTTAGCCTGTTTTAGGTAAGGTACTAACATATTAAAGGAATAACAAACTGGTCGAATATTTCAGGTAATCCTGTTCCACAGGTAATCCAGACATAATAATAAGCCGGCGCCCGAAGTACAATGCATAAAGATGCCCTAAAAAGTAAGATGCACATGTGATTTTATTATGCCTCAAAATGAGATTGACCAATCAGAGAGCAGAACTAATGACCGGGCATGAGCCCGTATACCGTCAGTAAAATACCAAGATGGATGTTTCTGGCCTAATATGAGACCGTATCCCGTCAGATACAGCCATCTTGGATTTTCCAACACCCACTTCACATATTTCACATGAACATTCTGGTACAGAATTTCTTTATTGGACACTTTTTTGTATTTTAATATTATCAAGTTTGATGTGGAAGGACATTAATATTTTTTTATCACTTTCTTGACTTTATTGATAAAGATTATAGTTAAAATTACCAACAAGGTTGTGTATGTGTGTGTGTGTGTGTGTGTGTGTGTGTGTGTGTGCGTGCGTGCGTGCGTGTGTATGTATTTTTCTGCTAACCAAATATGACACCGTATACGCCAACTAAAGACACCATAACTAATAATATGTATTAAATGTTGAAAATGATATTGAACAAAAATACCAAAAACGAAGTAGTCGCTTTATCATGCCATGAAGATGATCGAAATATTTGCAAACCAAACAACCACTCACCAAATTACCACATATGAAATCTACATTTGCTACGATATCCTGATGCAGGTGTTATGAAATAGAGTATCTTCATTGCATCTTGCATATATGGGTCTGGAGTTCTGTTCTGTAAATATGTTTACCTAAATATACATGTCAGTACATGAAACCTCTCTACAGTCCAAATATATCACATACATACATCCTGCCCGGTGGTTATTTTTGATCAGCATGAACTAACATGTTTTGTGACGCTTCCACCAATATCCCAATAAATCAAATAACATTGTCCGAACTGATACATACAATGCCGTCGGTTGTATATCCTGACGTCGTGTATCCTGTACGGCTGTCCCAGGTCAACTGTCCACACACTTGGCCGTCCTAGCAGGGAAGCGTGGAAGCAGGAGAAGTGAGAATAATCCTGGTCCTGGTTCCCATCTACAACCTTGTCTGCAGACCACGAAGGTAAATAGAGTCCAGAAGGAGTTGTCGCTGATTTTCCTTTCGCAATGTTTTCTGTTTGGATATATATATTTTCAAAGACATGTCACACAAAGACTTGACCTGACCAGAATGGTTTATATTGTTCAGTAGGAGATGAATCTTTCTGGTGAGGCCCATGTTATGCATAATAAAGACAATGTTTATTCGGTTTGCCTGAGCTGATGTCTCGTTTTAATAATATTGGACATAAAACTATGATTAAAAGTGATCTTCATAGAAACGAATGTGACATTTCCCCCATTTTGTGCGAGAAGCAGGATTTACGTATGCAAAGTTTCAACATTTAAATGTTTAAACGACCTAATATGAGGGAAAGTAAATGCTGAAACTTCGATGGAATTTGATCTTGATAGATCGTGTAGGACAGCATGAAATATTCAGTTTCAAACTTTCTGGAATATGGAATTCTGTGATGACCCTCCCAACATTATTGGATGGATTATAAAGATATATAACTACAGGTAACTTACTAAATGGTTCCGTAATGGGTAGGTGTGTCACAGTGAGTGAGTGAGTATGGTTTTACACCGATTATAGCAAGTCTCAAGCAATATCACGACGGGGGACACCAGAAACGGTCTTCACAAATTGTACCCAATGCGGAATTCGACCCCGGGGCTTCGACGTGATGAGCGAACGCTTTAACCACAAGGCTACTCCGCCTCCCGGATGTGTAACAATCTGATTGGATGAAACAATAGGATTCAAAGCCTGGGAATCTTCTCGACTTTCCATTGGTGCCAAATTTTAAATTGCGTTTGGCATTAATCATAGAATTTCTTTGATTAAAAGTCAAACAAACGTCTTGGAGAGTGTATACAGCATTCTGTTAACCTTGAGGCTTCAGTTGTCATTCACTGCATCATAACTTCATCATAACGTCATGGCATACCAGAGTGACGACATGTATGTCTCACAGCTGTTGGAGTACCCGTCGAAAGAGAATATTATGGAAATCAACGATAACTTTTATATTTACCGTGTTGATAAACATTATGTGCTCTCATATTTTAGGTGTCATTGAGGATCAAATGCTCAGCAGTTGGAACATTTAAAACCTTCTTTCATTAAAGCCATTAAACTAACACATAAAAATATATAACGTCAACTCCAGAGGCTTGCCTCGATCCTCCGCATGGCGCAAAAGGCAACACATCGGTGACAACTACACGAACGGATCACTGAAAATTAGTGATGACACCAGGAGTTCACGAAAAGGGAAATCATGTCCTGCGCTACTGGTAGCACCTGCCACTCACACAATTTGCATAACATGTAAGTAAACTAACCAGAAACAAATATATGATTCTTTTCAATATCGGAAATGTCATTAGCCATGTCTTGTGTTTATTGTGCATCAAAAACAACGATGATAATTCCACCTTATAGACTGAAAAGTAAATCTACCATATTAGTGTAATATGTCACCATAAGAGTACATGCAGTTTTAATGTCATGACGCAAAAATATGTATTGCGAAATTATGAAAGACAGTCAAATCTGAAATGAAATAGTCAGATATCAACAATTTAGCCTATTTGGGAGATTAGGTTGAATCAGTCATATTTCAATATGTATTATATTCATATTCATACTAACCGAAGAGGGCTGTTGTAATATTCGTGTACGTGATAGTGAGTGAGCGAGGGATAATGATGTTGCGCTGCTTTAAGAATTATTCATTCTCACAATTAAGGGGACCTCATAAATGCGTTTCGGACATTGCACTTACCCGGGCCTTCAGCGTTAGGGGCCAACATTGTACCCACAACAGGCAGCCCGACTGTCGTCAATATATTTATGCCTAAACACAGCTAAAGTAATAAAGTTTGGGGATTAACGTCGCACGCAAGATTATTGCACTTATATAGCAACGTGTATGCACGTGCGTGTGTGTCTGCTTGAACTAGTCCGGACAAATGCCGATTTTATAGTGCTGGCCCACTGAGATACAATGTCGGCAGTTTAACAAGAATACCCCAATTCAGACACAGTATACTGACTCCGAGCCGACCAGTTCTTGTTTTAGCCCCTCAATGACCAGCGCCAGACAGGGGGACAACAAGTACCATCTTTTAACGTCTTTTGGTATGACGCGGTCATGGATCGAACTCAGCACCTTCCGTTCTCTGGACGAAGACCTTACCGTTAGATCACTGAGGCGGTACTAATAAAGCAGAATGTTTTAAAATAGGTATTGTAAGTATGTGGCTGCTCATAGAGAATAAGGGCACTTTCTGTTTTTGTTTCCAAATCAATTTCATTTTAAATCACACCTTTCTGGCAGTTAGATCCATTTCCTCCCATCCAACCAGACTCACAGTCACCTCCACAAACTCCTGTTGTCTGGTCACAGGAGTCTCCACAGTGACAGGAGTAGAAGCAGGAGTCTCCGAACTTTCCTGTTGGACAGGAACCTGTAAAACACACACAGAGGTGAAATACATCAAATATAGACAGCAGCAGATGCATACATTTGAGTAGAGAATTTAAAACTATCTGCATTACAACACGCGCAGGCAGGCACACATATATTTTTAAAAAAGAAACGCAAAGCCAGATTAGTGTGAGGTACGAGGAACCGTACAAGGTATTGAGCCAAAATGTTATGGAGAGAACACTTGGTGATTGTAGTCATCTCAGTTATCGGTACATAGAAAAAGTCCAAGGTGAAGGTCGGCTACCATCAATTACGCGTATGTTTCCCGTTGGAATCGATAGCGACCTGGAAGCAGAGTGGAAACAGAAGTTTTGGTGCACATCCTGGTTAGAGTTCTCATCAACAGCTTTGTCTGCAGACCAGGCAGATGACCACAGTCGAGGAGGGGATGAGGCGTGTGTTCGCTTTTGATATCAACACAACATTTCACTCAAGTAATGAACACAAGTAGTGTTCAGAATAGACATTACACTGTACGAGGCATATATATTTCTTCAAAATCAAACCATACATTAAAACGCATCGATGCCTAAAATGGTATTTATATTACTTGTAACAGTAACATGTTGTATTGATATGTTGACAGAAAAGGGATCATCCAGAATATGACACTGCAAACACGAAAACGTCGTTTTTTCCCGTATATGGTCATTTGACGGGAAAACGACGTTATTTGGACGTTTTCAAACCATCGTTTTCCCGTCCAAATAACGTCGTTATTTGACATCGGAATTTACTGGGAGAGAACGATACCGTTAAGCTCCTCCCTTTCTTGATTGACACACACACAAACACACAAACACACACACACAAACACACAAACACACACAAACAAACAAACAAACAAACAACGGACCTAAATAACCTGGACAGGAAATACTGCTGATAGCCTCTGGTCAACTCAGCCGCGCTACTGCAGAATGTTCGTCTAACTCTGCAGGGGGCGTTCTCAGTGGCTTCAAACGCGCTGAAATGTTTTCGCCTTGCATCCAAGATGGTGGACAAGTGAAATCGTATGAAATGTGGCTATTTTAGGTCGCTATCTCCTTTTTGATTACCCAATAAAGTCAAGTCATAGTTACACGGCTGTGAAGAAGCTTACAACTTTATAACACTTATTCCTCTCATTCCAATAGAGCTATTCGTGTTCACATAAAGTTGTAGTTATTATGTCACTGTTTTTTTTCTTTAAAAATATATTACATGTTCATCAATGACAATTGAGATGAACATTCAATTTCCGATACAAGTAAATGAATGTTTCCTTATGTGTATCAGTTCTTAATGCCCTTCAAAGCCTCAAATCTAGCTGTGATCTTTATTCATACTTTAGATATTCGTAATGGAGATCTGTAAGTGAAGTTTATCGTAATCTTCCGCAACTCTCACCTCCTGACCAGTTGACCTGCTTAGTGCATTCTGATGCCATTGTAAAATTCCAGGCTGCCCCTCTTTCTGTGATGTTTTGACGGATGAAATCTATTGCGTTTTAATAATCTCTGTTTGCTGATATTTAATACGTACATGTTGTAAAATATTTACGATATTTTAAACGTGTAATTCGATGAATATGCAATGCAATGTGAACATAAGTGCGGATGCACGAAGGCGGTTAAAGTCATAGTTATAGTGCGATGGATGTAGGGGAATGGTAGGAGGGTGTATGTATGTAAGCACGAATACCGATACATGAGGGCGGATATAGTTACAGTTCGATGGATGTTGGGGAATGGTGGGAGGATGGATTATGTATGAAAGCATGCGCATGGATCCATGATGGCTGACGTAGACATAATGGTGGGGAAAGAAGAATGTGATGTGTGTGTGCGTGCGTGCATGCGTGCATGCGTGCATGCGTTTTTATACGAGGGTTGGCGAACATGTTGTGAGATTAATGTGTGAGTAAGTTAAGTGGTTGAGGATGTGGCAGGTATGAGTATTGATACATGCAGACTTTGGGTTGGGGGACTGGGTGTGCCTGTACTGAGGTCTCACTCACTTATAGTGTTTTCTTTCACTCAAATACTGTTTCATGCATTTTAATGACTGAAACTGTAGTGACTCAAAGCTCGGGCGTTCTACATATCTACCCGAACTACGTTGCCATTCCATTTTTATGCTGTACATTTCTTCTTCTTCCTCACACACACACACACACACACACACACACACACACACACACACACACACACACACACACACACACACACACACACACACACTCACACACACACTCACACACACACGTACACACACTCACACACACACATATACACACACACATTAATTGTTTTATTAAATGTATCCTCGAGAGTCAGTATGAAACTAGAAACAGCTGCCTTTGTTCTGTAAATATCACCAAGTTTCAGCTTCCGCCTCTTCGTTTGTGGAGTGAGGTTTCACATTTGTAAAACGATCTCTCTTATCTGTCTGTACCATCAACTTAACTGCCCTCACCCCCCTCATTTTCCCGTCCCATATTGCCAAGCAGGTGACCCACAAGGAGGAATACCGCCCTCCCTCAGTCCAGTTATACTGTGCCTAGCACAAAATGTTAGGAATACGTAGCCTTGCTGTGGGCAAACATTTTGTAACAATTTGGCAAACTTTGATATGTAAACAGCAAATATAATTCAGTTTTATTTCAAAAAAAAAGGGAAAAATCGGATCCTACTTATTTTGTGGATACCATAACAATAAACCAATATATTTGTGTATGTTATTGCTACATGATTGGTTATGACACGGATACGTCATGATAAAGCAATGAGAAATTGACATTTGATGATATAAGATAGCTACGCGATCGCAAAGAACAAAGAAGGAAGCAATATTTATTTCACGATAAAACATTGTTCTATCATGACGTCATTTATGGAAATTCGAACATGCACTCGCAACTTGAAAACGTCGTAAATTTGACCTTATTTTTGAGAGGTATGTGTCTAGTGAGTTGTTTCGAATAAATGTTGCTGGAGAAGGTAAATAAACGCAGTGCCCGAACAATCGAATCCAAAGTGAGAGTGATATGACAATCGGTTTTGGGAGAAAAGGTACAGATAATCGACGAGAATATGCGGGAAAGACCAAACTCAAATCCTAAAATGGATTTATCTAGCATAGCCGCTTTCGGATTCTATTCAAGGAGTCATCATTATTTAAGTACGGGTAAATATTTTTAAGCGTGTATTTTTTCCTAATTTAACACCCTCAAAGAGGCTGTAAGTAATGTTGATATCTCATATAGAAATAAACGAGTCGTGGTCGTTGTTTATCGTACAATAAACAACTCTCACTCGTCGTTTGTTTCTTAATTACCTGACCATTTACACTAACATTATATCTGTTCATGTTTATCAGTCAACAAAAGCGACATTAGCATTTCCATTATCATGAGAAACCCTTGCCAAAAGTAGCGCCAACTGCACGATTACGACAACATCAGGAGCATGTTTCATGATTCATCATAATAAATGATGACACTTGGTGCTCGCAAAAACGCGAGCTCATTCCGATCCCGCCACAAACACATGCAAAGGCAAGCCAGTTGTTCACCCGAAAAGGCAGTTAATTGCATCAGACATCATTTTGGTCATTGCTTCGTCAAACCTGGAAATGCCATCTACATATCCAACGCAAAGCCCAAGCCAGGACCCAAATCCTTTAAACCCGGCCAAAGTTCTGTTAATTACATACATTTCCCCCTAACCTTAAGTAATCTATACTAGTTCTGAAGTAAATCGTATTTACCCGTATGAATCGTCTTATGTTATTTATTGCCGATAAACAGAATATGCACACTTTCTGAAAGTACTGTGTGATAAGTCACGCACCAAACATATACTCTCGATATAAATGTTGCTCTTACTTAAAAATGACAAGTGGGTTAACAAGATACGTATATTAAAGTGCCATGCTTTCCTGATGTGCTATCATTCTAATTTGAAATAATGACATAAATAGTTACCCCTCATCTTTCAATATTTTTCAAGGTTGGGTTAATCACAAACATATTTGAAAATATACAACAGCTAGACTTACTTATCTTTATACTTAAAGGCATCAGGTTTGTCTGTCATACAGACCCCGAAACAAATATGTCCAACACAGCCCAATATTTGGCAAAATGAAGAAAGTCTCTTGGCTCCTTGTTATTATATTTTATAACTATTGTTTACCAACTGTTTGTTTTCTGTAAAATATGTTCATTTCATAAATTAGATGTTATTCTAACATCAGGTCTGTGGTACGTTCACTGCATCAGCATTACATTAAAACGTAATTTACATATATAAATACATACAGAGGAAATTAGTAATTATCGTTTAAGGAAGAGTGCAGGACGACTTGCTTTATACATATATATGTGGACATATATGTATGGACAACTGGATGATATAGAAATACCTCCTTAAATATAGTGTTCGTAGATGACTGTAGAAAATGGAATAATTATTTGAGTAATCGGGTTAATACCACGTTTAGCAATATTCAGCCATATTGCGATATTGGTTTCCAACATAAAAGACGGACCAGGAAATTATGACTTGAATTTGGACCTTGCTTTCTGGTGTGATGTAATACCTCCCTTAGAAAAAGAGCTTAAAGCACAAATAAAAATCACGAGATGATACTGATGTATACATCTGGACATATATTTGCGAAGTATTACTACGTTAATTCATCAGTATATATGTATTTTGCATAAAAGGATATTGTAGGAACGACGCTGACATGCGCATATAATCTATTCACCAGTGCTGTAATATTTAATTCATTTCTTTTGACACATATCGACACGAGAAACTATATCTAAATTTAAAAGGAGCCCAAGTGGGATGGAAATTTCAGCCTGAACCTGTTGAACATCTAGGCTTGTTTCATTTTGGGCTATAGCATTGCCGTGTAAGGCCTGGCCGGAAGGGAACACCTATTTGCACCCATCAGATACCAATCACAACTTCTCTCTCCAAACGAAAACAAAATATGAAAAATGTCGGAAGTGTATCCTTCTAATTTTCTATTTAGATACATGTTTTAACTTTAAAGTAATTATATGGATCTCATGTATTATTGGTATCTGTGATGCTGGTACCGTTGTGTCGCCATTGTGTAGCTTTTGTGGAGTTATTATGAATATCAAATACATGTCTTGAAATATGGACTTGTAAAAGAACTCATCATTGAACCATATGCAGTCTAACCCATTTAATTGGCGTGTATGGACATATTATCAATCTACTTATACACACTTATTATGGACATATACAGAATTTCATTGTACCTTATTATTAAAAAAAATACCCGTGCAGATCCGGGTTAGAATAGGCCTTCAACAACCCATGCTTGTACGAAGGCGACTAACATGATCGGGTGGTTAGGCTCGCTGACTTGGTTGATGCATGTCATCGTATCCCAGTTGCGTAGATCGGTGCTCGTGGTGATAATAACTGGATTGTCTGGTCCAGACTGGATTATTTACGAACCACCGTCATATATCTGGTATATTGCTGAGTGCGGCGTTAAACAACAAACATTGAAACAAAATCTATTATTAAGCACCTTCCAACAATGAGAAATTAAACTTATATTTTCTATATATTCTGTTATATTTATAACATAATTTGATTCATAATTTAATTATTGCGTTGCTTTCTTCCCTGTCATTCAATGTTCAAACCCCTAAACTTTGAATATTTCATTTTTCACAAATGGCTACGTTAGTGAGTTGCCTAGATTTCTCGTTACCTACTCACACGAACAGATTAAAATAATTTGTTTTACTATCATATTTCTGTTTATCGAATTCATAATACGAAATTGATAATTCATTTATCACAGTATAGATCATATCCGTTTATATCACTATCTGATGATAAGGTTTTATTGCAGAAATTATAATTAATTCAAAATGTAGAAAGATACACAATTTGCCATTATTTGACTTTTAAAACAGTACAAAGTATAATATAATGGTCAGACTGCCTGTAACGGGTAGTATTTAAGAAAGAAATATTTGTCGATAAGTCCCATTTTTCAGATATGCCCTTCAGTAGTATTATTGTATATCTCCAGAGAGAGGTTTACATTGTAGTTCTCGTTTTTTGTGGATAATTCAAAAAGCAACATAGAAAATATATATGCTACCATGACGAAAGAATACATAGTATACATAACTCGCAATTCTCCAAAAGAGATTTCAAATCACAATTACATATCTGATATAAAGAGAGGTGGTAATGATTTAATCTCTATCCGATTACACTGATTAAGGCTGTCCCAGTTCTCCATGCGATACTGACGCCCGTTCGTCTCCCAGACCATAGAGAATAAATTTAAAAGGAATCCAGCTCAAGTCTAGAACGATTTGGCAAGCCTACATTTGCCTCAATTCTATCCATGAAAGTAAACATTAATAAGAAAAATATTGTTCTTGTCTGCTTCAGATTATATTTTGTACATACAGTACATATTTTTAACTAGGAAAATTGTACTGACACCGGCGCTGTCCCTATTGAAGCTATTTATAAGAATTTCGAATTGTCGTCCATTGTTCGATGTCAATACATCGATGACAAGTGAGGATATCATAAAGTAATCGTTGATGCCGCGCTACACTATAATGAAAATTATAATCAAGTTGACTGGTGTGTACATTACTACAGTGAACATGTATATGATCCTGCTCTATTAATCAAACGCCGTAATGTCAAATACTAATATAATATTGTGTGATGAATTTAACTGGATCAGTGGTAACATGTGATATTAATATTCCATCAATTTCTTTCCTGGTTTCAGTGTGAACCCTCGACACACACCCAAACACCCATCCAACCAATCGCCCAAGCAAATACTCACTCGTGGGCAAATCCAGGAAACTTAAGCTCGACACGAGGATCGGGACAACACGTAGTACCTTAAGTTGCAGCCACCTTTGTTCGAATAACCTTTGAGTACATATATCCTGCATTGCATTATCAAATGTATTTTATACCTTTCAAATGGTTTTATGAAAACATGTAGGCAGACTAAGCATTCAATTCATAGTTATCATGATAGTGTTTCGGGGTTTGTCTGCAACATGCCAGTGTTCTCTGGTGTCATCACACTGGTAACCATCTTCTGCCTGCATCACTTCCGGTCTTCCTTTCCGCGAACACCTGGTGTCATTACTATTTGAGCGTGATTCATAAACACATGCTCATGATATAGTCGGAATTGTACAATTGACTCTGCTTTATGCACAGAATTCTATTGGATAAGGAAAGGGTTTTGTCGCTTTTTTCGCACATCAATCTGGCAGCCTCAACCTGACACGCCCTTATATAAGTGAAATACTGTCACAGTGAAACTCACTCAATCTAACCGGCCATAGACACTCCAATACAGTGCAGTCTTGATATAGTGCAATCGCATTTAGATACCATGCATCACTTTGACTAGTCAAATGGTCAAATGAGGTCAAATGAGGTGAGGGGATTTTAACGGCACGTTCAAGATTATTTCACACATAGAGGAAGTGCATGCATAAGTCCAGACTTATGTCTTGTTAGTGCAATCTCATTAAGGTACTGTGCAGCACTTTGTACGTTTGACTCACACATTGTAGAGCCTCCGAGTCGGGCAGTCCTTACTTTACTCCCAACGCTGAGCCCCAGACAGGGTAACAGCAAGTGTAATCATTTAATGTCTTTGTTATGACACGTCTGGGTAATCGAACCATCGACCCCTTCGACCCCTTCCCCCTCTTCAGACACACTGGCGGTTTGTTCAACGGAAATGGAAGTAATCAAATTATATTACATGCATTTTCTGTTAGGCTTTGCAAAGATATCATTTCTGAAACACTGCGGATCACAATTTTCTACAACTTTAATCCCCTTTAAGCAAGCCATTAACTGTAATACCGTCGTGCTCAGTGTTGTTGACAGTGATTTTCTTGGCTAAAACTCTCGTGCAAGAATAATGCAAAATGAGGTAGTGACATTACAGTAATTGACCTAAAGATACAATGTATATCAAATAAGGAAGCATGATGTGTCACTCACCAATGATAACCTGTATCCAGCAAGCCGATGTGACCACGGTAGCAGTCAGTATCCACACCCCCGCCATGTTTGATAACCAGGAAGTTGTTTCCGCTTTACTGCATAGCTGGGACGCCTGACGTTGCCCGCTGTCAAAATATTCATTGACGAATTTAAGCTGGGGGCTGCTTACATACAATGTGAATACGTGAGATGCATGTGTGTCTTTGTCTCTCATCATTCAAGTAATCGTAGAGGAGGCTCAGAATTCGTATTCAAACAAACATTAAGTCTCATTTCCGTCAACTCGTCAAGAAAAGGATATTTTAGGTGGCCTCATTATATTCAGCTTTCAAAATATTTTGTAACTTAAAGTGCATTGTAATAGATAACGTGGACACGTTAATGGCCAAATCATAGTTTCTGATGGGATGTTATTCTTGGGTGTTCGATACACGATCCCCGCACATGTCGAGGTTTTTCATAAAGTAAGAAAAGTCTACTTTCCTCAGTTTATGAATTAGACATGATCATTGTTTTACATTAGTCGCATGAATGAGACACACAAACCACAGGTTATCTGTGTGTAGGAATCAGGCAGTATCCATCATTGTGTACTAAGGAGGCAGACAAACCGAAATAATATAATTCATGGGAGTTACACAAACGTCATTTGTATTATAGTAGTTGTTTGGAGTCATTCGCTGCCGAGGACTGAATGGAGAGTTTGCAGCATATGTTGAATGCTTAATTTCTATTTCATACTGCCTTAATAGTGCGGATAGGTGAAAAGCACCCATACGTAACATGATACATTGTGACTGTATATTGTGTATTCGAGAGAGGGGAACAACTGAAGTGTGTATTCGGGTGGCTTCATCGACTTAAAGGGACGAGGTCATGATCAAGCTGCATTAAAAAGATGGGGATACATGTTTTCAGGAAACAACACACAGCTTCCTTCTAGTGTAAGGTAAAAGTTATAATGCCATGATTATAAATAATAAAGTCATAGGCTATTCGAGTACGTTATCAGATTGTGGTACGTGTATGTTTAAAACTCACAATGAAAGGGCGTTTATTACAGCATAATGTGATTTAGTCTCACTGTACATGAAGAGAACAATATACTTCCCTGTGACATTTTAAGCAGTACCTCTAGTGATGGTTGAAAGTTACAACAGTGTAATCTCCTCACTCTTATCATGGCTCTTATATTTCATAATAATTAATCATCAATTTCCGCCATTAGTGAAAGTCTACCATGCTTCAGCACCATTTCCATATTTGCCACAACAATCACGTGGTATGCAAGCTACTCCAAACTTGGGATGTCCATTGCGTATGAGCATGCTTAGGGTTAACACCGCGTGCTAATTTCCTCAGCTCGCCAATGACTGCCCTCGGTAGATAGTTTTACCCATACATCAGCTGCCAACTGAGAAACAGTGTACATGTACCATGATTTAGTCGCTTTTTCTATTTATTAACCATATTGATTTGTGAATAACCATCCTCTTTGTTTATATAAATCATTTTAAACTTAGTCAGTGTTGGAGTTGTAGATCTGCTGGAACCTCTCACGCTTGCTCATGACATGTTTTCCCTGGCCAGTCAGAGTGAGCGGAACTACCATCGTCTCGGTCGGAGGGTCTTACATAAGCAAACTCAGTCATAACTTACTCATAATATAGTCAGTGAATGTGTCTCTTTCTTCCCTTATCAAAAATGCAAATGTGCAGATAGAGAAATAAGTAAAGAAATTCAGATATTGATTAAATAAAAAGAAGCTTACATGGCTAGGATCAAGGTTCATGATTACCTTTACAGTAATGGAACCCGATAGCTTTCCGGACCACCGAGTGTATGTACTTTGATACGCATGATATGCGTTTTTAATCACATAAAAACCTGCAGGACATGTTTGTGCCTCCCACACTGCTCAGGTTGAGTCAGCTTACCTGTGACACACTTGTCTCATTGGTTATAGCAAGGTTGATACAGTAATGTCCTGTTTCGCGACCTGTTTCTGTGGTCTAGTAGAGCGTCAGCCTTAGAGCGGGAGGTCGGCGGTTTGATCAAGTGGCCGCGTCATACCAAAATACATAATTAAGATGGTACTTGTTGTTACCCTGCCTGGCGCTCCGCATTAAATCCCAAAACAAGGAAGTTATATTCATTGTAATTGTAATTGTGTTATGTTTAGAAAGTATGTTTGTACGTTTTGTGAGGCATATGCTGTCGTCTTGCCTTGGAGTAATCACAGTAATCGGGAAAAAAACACAGCCTGTATGTGTTGGAATGGTTTTAGAATTCAGACAATTACAATCGGTGTAGCATTCACAACTCCAATACCAAGTGTTACTATCATTGTAGTATTTGTTACCGCATCAAATTTAAACTTTCTCAGCAGACCGGAGATACCATGTCGACCCGCTATTCCCGACGACCGTGAAATTGTTCAGACTCAGTGTTTCCCTGCACTATTCACACGCGCCTGGTGCCTCGGTCATTATCACAAAAGTACTCGGCTCGCGCACAAGTACGTTTACAAAGATTGTCGAACTTTGGTATTGTGATAATTCAAGTCTCGTGCAATTCTAAAGTTTCAGAGCATCACAAATAAAATAGTTTTTGTCGAAGCGTCATCACAAAATTCAGCGCCACAGTCGATTTACGAATGTTTACTTTTTGTTGCGAATGAGAGTTGACCTCTTTGGATCCATTAGCCAGGCAATAGAAACGTCGTGTTCACTATGGCAGCAGATGCAATCCCGTATCGTGAATGTGTGGTGCTCGCAAGTGATGTTGCCCGAATGAAGTTACAAGTTTATAATAAATACAATATATGTTGACTTGCAAGAAATCATATGACACGACGCTGTGAGTAGATCTTGTCTCGGGCTCCCCTTGCCTACATTGAATCGAGTCTGATGTAACGAAGCCGGATAAGTCCTTTGGATGCAGATGTGTCTTATCTTTTCTTATTATTGATAGCATGTGCAGAGTTGCGCCCCTTGGGCTCACCAGAAACCTATGATTGTGGGTTCGAATCCCGGTTTGCCCCTATTATGTTTCTAGGTTTGTCAACACCATGCCCGTCCTCGAGGGTTTCACCAAATTGGTAAACGTCTGAGACCTGCATCACTTCGAGCTTTCCTCCCACATTAGAAACCTGTTATGTGGGTATCGCAATTATGAAAGGTGTGTTTTCTACCAATGGTAAAACCTGGGAAGAGGTTTTACATTTTTACCAAAACCGTGGGATGAGGTTTTTGAAAATTTAGTAAAACCTCATCCCAGGGTCTTTGTAAAAAGGTAAGACCTCCATACCAGGTCTCGGCACTGAACAAACACACCAGATACACACTGATTTTTCATCACATAGTCTTACTTAAAGGCACATACCCGGACTTCTGCACAAAGACAACAGAAAACAACAGCCAGTAACATCCTTTAATGAAACTTAAATGTAAAGTAGAGAGACCCTTTTTGGGATAGACCTTCCAGACTTGCCTCAGTCGTTGAGTTGGTGGCGCACAAGACACTGTCTCCGTTTTTTAGGAATCTTCCTTCCGATAATGTCTGAAGCCTTGGACTTTAGATCGTCGCTGGTGCGTTTGTAGATGCGGACAGCACTACTCCGGTCCCCTAAAAAATATTTGTTATAGTTAATTACAACAAAGTATACTACCGTATGTTCTAAACATCTATAAAGCATTAAGCCACTATAGAAATATGGCAACATCAAAATACATTTTTATAGTAAAAAAATAGCCATTTCTATATGCTTGTTTATTCACAGATAATATTCGAAACATAAAATATTGGTAAAGGACTGTCCTATACGTTGAACTTAACTTACCAGTTTGTTGGAAAATCTGCTGCTCGCTTACTTCCGTCACCTTCTAAATACGCCAACGGCCCAGTCGTTCTTGTGTTTGGTCTTTTGGGGAACACATACGTCCAGTTTCTTCTGAAGTTCTTCTTCAGACAATAGAGATGCAAAACGAAAGTGAAAATCATCTGCGTCGTCACTGACATCCTTAGTTTCCACAAACTCACTTTGAGTTAGAAATAGGTCTCTGCTTTCCTCCTCGCTCGACATCTCAAACTCAACTGAGAAAGACAACCACGTGTTCTTACCGCATGTATCGCACGTGTTCGGTTCGTGTTCTTTCTATACGCTTATCCTGGCAATAGTGAGGTAGTAAATCCCCGTTATAGTGTCCTAAATGTGAGACAATTAAATTTGCAGTAATTCTAAACGTTTAACGGTTTCTAAGCCGGATAAAACACTCCTCCTCGGTTTTGGTAGAGAATGCTTTCGCCCCTCGGGATTTCCCTATTCCCGGGGTTTTACATTCTCTACCAAAACCTCTCAGTCGTTTTTTCTCCATTAGTTAAGCTGACACGCCGTGATTTAACTGGAAGTTTTTCTCCCATCTGTGTGACATTCCACTTGTTAGACACTTTTAGTAATGATTGATTGATTACTTATCCCATGCCCGTTACCTACGGTGTACTTGGACTCAGCCCTTTCTTCACCCATTTGTCAGCCAGTAAGGAGTAAGAAAACAACGCCACGAACTGTTACTCATATGTTTATTTACAGCACTAACAATTCAAATGACATGAGTCATATCAACAGATTTACAACAATGTCAGCACTAAAACACACATATCAAGTCATTTACAGCACTATCAATTCAAATCGGAAGAGTCATCTCAACACTAAAAAGTCAAAGCACACGAAAGTCACTTAAACCACCTTGGTGAGTTTGGCAACGGCATCCAGGTACGGCATTGTCGTCTTTTCCCCGCTGTCCAGTTTTTCTTTCAGTAGTGTCCGTCGATTGTCAATCACCTTGTATACTCGCTTCCTAGGATGAGGGGCTGCACCAAAGTTAATCTGAGAAATCTTCAGACGATTGGCCTTTTCATTTCTCTTCAAAATATCCACAAGTCGGCAAACATTTGGATGTCGGGACGACAGGGAACTATTCAAACGACTGTGGAATCTCTCAATGCTGTTGTTAGTCCTTGCACCGAAGGTGGCGTGATGGCTCCACATCAGGATCGGGAAGAGGGAGTCGTCGTCAATCCAAGACGTATCCATGTCGTCATTGAACTTATTGGCACCGGGGACAGCAGGGCAGTCATTCACGGCATCAACCCAGATATCCTGAACCTGTCGCAAGGGGACAAGGGTCAGGGCACACGCGTGTCGGATCCATTGTTCCATTACACCTACATGTAGGCTTTCCTCCACACGGCTTGACTGAAGTGGAAGAAGCACCCTTTGATGTCGCCAACAGTGGTGCACTTTCTGCTACATGTCTTCTCTTCACATCTCCAATGCGTGCATGTCTGGCGGATCTTATTGCGGTTGAGGAGATAACCCCTGGAAGTATACCCGTGGTGTCCCTTTACATGACATAACATATTCGACTTGTTGCTATCCTGCCATCTTAATACAATGCAAGAGTTCAGAGCTGTTGGGATTATATAGGGGTCATATCTTTAATGGTAAGAACTCAATATAAAGTGGTAAATTATTGCTTAGTTTACTTAATTAGGAAGTCTCAAATGTAGGTGTGAAATTACTTAAACAAAAGAATAGTTAACAATTTTGTTTAAACTCAAACAATTCAGTTGTAGTGGTGATAATCAGTCTAGCAAGATGGGACTAGCCCATTACAGCACAGGTAAGCTCACTTTATTTGTTTAGTAAAGTGTCAAACAACTGGGTGTCTAACACATGGTGTGTCTGACCGATGGGGCAGAACCTAACTGGAATACTGTTAAAATCAGCGTTAAACCAACTTATACACTCACTCACTTATTATTGATATCAGTATACTGTCGAATCATAAGCTACCCAAGTTATTCATACACTATCCTTATTCCAGCAATGTCTTTTTGTAAGGTTGAAATTAGATAATGCGCCACCTTTTTCGAGTAATATATAAATAACTACACTTGTCCTCATTAGAAACGTGAAATAAACTCACTGTAGTAAAAGCGGTATCTAGCAGGGACTCGTTTGGTAATCTACATACATTGCATGTTGCATACATAGCCAATAAAGTTATCGTTACTGGTGTTTATAGACAGGACAGTTGCTATAGAAAGTGCGATAACCATCAATGTTTACATGCATGCTATATGCACGTTGTAGTGTTTGCTCTTATACTTTGACGCATTAATAGTTTTGTTAAACTATTTAATTAAAAATGAGTGCACATATTTTCTAAGACGGTTCATATTGCAAAGTTCCATTGCTGTAATAACTAACATAACAGTATTTTTAGTGATTCTAACAAAACAGACCCGTGAAGATTCCGGGGTAGAATAGGTCTGCAGCAACCCATACTTGTCGTAAAAGGTGACTATGATTGTCGTAAAAGGCGACTAACGGGATCGGGTGGTCAGACTCGCTGACCTGGTTGATACATGTCATCGATCCCAATTGCGTGGATCGATGCTCATAATGTCAATCACTGGATTGTCTGGTCCAGACTCGATTATTTTACAGACCGCCGTCATATAGCTGGAATATTGCTGAGTGCGGCGATAAACAACAAACCAACCAACCAACCAACCAACCTAACAAAACAGCAACCCTGTGTGACGAAGGAATGTGTTCCAATGTCATCATATATTTCACTTTTCTAACCCGGAGCATGTATATAACATAGCATTGCTTACAGTATCAGTGACGGGTATTGATACATGTCAATGTGTGATGTGTCAACAACATTTTTTACCATTCTCACACTCGATGGAACAGTTGGGAATATTTGGATTAATCTCCACACAATTTAGACATCTTAATCTGGTGAACAATGTTTTGACAATCTTTGTTATATGTGCCACGTAAGTATGAACAGGAATTATTGCAGAGGGTAGGCAAGGGAAATACAGCTTTTTCATTCGAGAGGTTAAAGGTTATTTTATTCATTTTGCATAACCCTAGCCTGCGTGTCTGGCTGCTAATACTAGTCCGGAATCAATTCGTCTGTATATTGATAACCCACTGACATACCACGCCGGTATGATACACCTTCAGATACATCATAGTGAACACCGAGCCGGTCCGTCCTCGTTTTATTCCGTAAATCCCGAGTGCTAGGCAGTGTAACAACAACTACCAAACGTCTCTTGGTATGACGCAACCAGGGAACACCAGACTTCCGCGATCCACGCGAGGCCGGGTAACATCAACCACAACAGTTCGTTGCAAGCATACACACAGCATATATGCAGCAAATGCCAAGGATAAAAAAAGTACTTCATATCCGTCAGTTTGTTATCAGCATTTTCGTTATAAACGTAGTTTACTTTTGCATGACGCGACCAGGGAATCTGAGCACCGAGTTTTCACGATCTACGCAGGCGCTGTATCCACTACAACACGGATATGGCCTTGAACCATTGACATTCATTGACAAATGAGTTCGCGTTTTTTAAGATGGTTTTATCAACGAGATGTATCGTTTTATCCAGCACACAGATTATTTGAAACGTAAAGCTAACTGGGCCAATCTTGCTCATTGGTGATGCCATTTATCGTTACTTAAACTGTGTGGCAGCAGTGTTACAAGGTAAATGAGAACGTATCTTGTACTTGGTGAAATAAAGAGAACAGCTTGTATACATGTATTAATGATATACATCAGACACACGTATTATCCCTCTGTGTCCTATAAGTCATCGCAAATGCAAACACATGCCCTCCATGGCATACTTGGTGTATGAATCAGCGAAGCCCCCGCGGTTTTCCCCGACCCCCAGGGCATGCTTAGGAAACGCACGTAAAATATCTGTTGCTGGCGTACGGATCTTGAAAAGGACCTTCTAAAAACCAGTGAGGCTTCTCAACACCTCTGTAGCCTCGTGGTACACTCACTGGGCTACAGATATGAAGGTTGCGAGTTCGATTCTCGGGAATATAAAGAAAATATTTGTCATTTGACTTTACATTTCATTACATGTTACAATCATTGGAAATTTAAATTAAAAGTATATATTATATGTCCACTGTTAATTCATCAACAGCTATTGGAGGCTCTATCGTTCTATTTTAAACGTCATAATAGTGGAGACAGACTACTAAGTGAATTGCATGATAAGCATGGGTACCTCAACATGGCAGCGCCAGCCAACGAAGATATAAGAGTGCGTGAGTGTTTTAAAACTTTGCATGTAGACAATATTGTAGTCAGAACAAGTTAATTACTTATTAAATACCTGTCGAAAAAGGAGGAAAACAGTGAGGTAAGTATCGAAGGTTTACGTATAAAACAAACACGATCAATATATTAAAACGTATGAATTTTCATTGGATTATTTAGTAAAAAAGCTAGGCTACAGACCATAATGAACCAAAGCTAGGCTACCTCACTGGGGACTAAGGTATAAGGGGAAGGGTGAACCCTGAAACCATGTTTATACTGTAAACTCCTGCAATAATAACACAGGAAAACAACATTGTCCATTTGTCAATGGAGCATGTGATGAACCAGACACGCCCCTTATAATAGCTTCCTCTCGTGAAGTGTTATCAACACATCAACATAATACATGCCCAACATTTGAGTTTGCATGTATTTGTTATTGTACAAGGTAAACATACACCACACGGAAATGGTTAGAGATGAAAACATTTAAGTTCTATCAGCAGGTAAAGTTGATCGAACACTACACTTTAATACGGACACGTGTTAGCATATATATGTATATATACGAACATTATTACATATGTGTGTGAATATGCACTTAAAATTAATTTTCCAAAAGCGTAATTTCTTTCATGCCTAAATTTGTAATCAAATCCGATTTGAATGACCTGGAAATTACATGTACATCTATTAAACTGCAGTAACTTAATTTTCTGAAGACAACAAAGCATATATAAAATGTGTCATCAGTAACAGGATGTAGCTGGACTAAATCCAAACTCCAATGTAAATCTGCCCATTATGATTTGCAGACTCGCCCATTATAGCATGATCTCACCCTTGGACTCCTCACAACCACGTTTGTTTATGGACTTCAGTCGACTCATACAATTGCAAATTTATATAGGTTCCATGCTTGTCCCTAAGTCATGCTTTTCCTTTTCACTCTTTCCTTTACTCGAGATGAACAGCTTTAGGAAACGCCTCACTTCCTGGTTTATTGCAGTGAATAGATAGATTGGTTTACTTAAAGCGTTCAACAGATAGCGAAATCGTGACTTCCTTGATGTTTTTCATGGCTTCGTAACGGTAGAGGCTAATGTTTACTTTTTGGACCTTTTAAAAAGAAGGAACCGTGAGTTTGGATTCCGTTTATTGATGAAGCGCCAGTGATCGTATATAATTACAAAATAATTGCAAAGATGTAAACTAATCAAAAAGCAAAAAATCAAATAAGTGTTTAAGTTATCTATGTTAAGTAATCCAACTTGTGAGTGATATATTTTAGAATTTGAGTAAATAATTCCAGACTGAGTACAGTCGTCACACGTTTTCTTATTGACATTGTTTATGCACATAAACATATACTCATATACAGAAAACAAAGCGTGACATTAAAACAATAACAAACATGTGACTATCATAGTCAAACAATATTAATGACACTAAAGGCTCATGGGGCATAGAGATAAAAAGCGTGGCCTGAGGCTACGGATGCAATAACCCATTACACATACTTCTACTCTGGGTTTACCTAGCTATAGGTTTACAACATGTGAAAGGTGGTATTTTTGATAAAATACGATTTGTGTCAGTACGACGTAGACTATTTTCCTGTCAGCATAGCATGTGAATTTTATATGCCTGATGAAAACATGTAAATGTTGTTACTTTTTGAAGATTATTTTCATATATCATCAATATAATAATACATAATCGCAATGCATCAAGTGAATCGTCTATTACAAATATTTACAAGTTAACAGATCATATAACTTTGTCCTGTCCATGTATTTCAGTTGACCGTCCGCAAACAAAGGTGGTGACGCCATAATGACAAGGTCTTCATGTATGCACAGCCAAAACTTTAATTATAAGATAAACGCCACCTATAACTTATATTTAGCAAAATATAAATACATTTACGTTAGGTCTTAAGTATTAATATTATCAGTTCACATCAGGGGACATTGGGTTACAACATAGCTCTCATTGAACTTAAACAATTCACATTGTAACTGTGTCTGTGTAGTGTCTGTGCGTCAATATAGACATCAGACTACAGAAATACGTAAATAATTAATTTGTTTATTACAATTTTAAACCCACAAACATAGAAATAAATCTTAGAGCTAAAGGGCACCTTTTGCGAATATACCTTCAAGTACTTATATATCATTTTATTTAAACAGTAAGTTTGTCAATAGAGAGTCACTTAACCTTCCCGATCTCACTGTATTCACCATCCGTTCCCCGTGACGTGTTGTCAAGGGTTTCATAGGTCCCTGCTGCGATAGAGTCGGACACGTCACATGACGTCAGAACAGTGGCATCAGTTTTTGCATTTGTTTGGCCAGATTTAACGGTGCAGTAAGGCTCTCCTTTCATCTTGGCGTCATATGAGACGGCATTGAGACTGTCGTATGGCCTAGTTTCTGGGCCAACGTCATCACTGGCCTGCGGTGGTTCAGTTGGAACGAGTGATACAGTGGTTGGGCGCGATTCAGATGTCTTGTGTAGGCATCTGGAATATGAACACATTCGAATGTGAGGACATTCAAAACTTGGTGTAAAGTACATGAAAGACATAGACGCATTATCCAATATGACGTCATGTTCTCATCAGGCATGATCTTATCTTTTTTACCGAAAAATACAATGCATTTTGATTTTTAAAAATATATATCTTGGAACTATATTTTGTGACTCATTTACCTGTTCCTTCTCCTCCAGATAACGGCACTGACAATGGCACCTACTACATCACCAGCCACGAATACAAGAACCACTGCGACAGCCAACTGGTTCGCGTTGTACCCGGCGGGTTGTACACACCTCGCATCTTCTGAATACATAAAGGATAAGATCACTCAATGATTCAAAACAAATATGTTTTTTTCGTTTTAAATGTAAATTTAGGAAACGATAGAGTATAAGCTGTTCATCAAATACAAACATGGTCCTGCTTTTGAAATATTTTGTGACATTTCACATCCTTGTATGGGATTAGTGGCATTTCAGGTTTTAGGGGTTTTATGAACCTCTCGCTTGCATAGATTTAAAAATTGATTAGTGTGTAAGTAATGCATGTGTGCCAGTCGCGGCAACTAAAACAGTTATGACTGTTTGTATTTTGTTCACGATACAACCATTGTGCTGATCATTACTTCCCTTTGGAACTCCGTTATGTGTGTGTGTGCGTGCTTGCGTGCGTGCGTGCGTGCGTGCGTGCGTGCGTGCGTGCGTGTGTGTGTGTGTGTGTGTGTGTTTGTGTGTGAGGGTGCATGCTATCCAACTGAGATACAATGTCACTGTCTTTTGGTTTGACTTGGCCAGGAGATCGATCCAAAAGACCACGGAGGGTGTCCAACAGGATTACAGATAGGAATGATGATGAAAAGATCAACAACTATTCGGAGAAACAGCACCATCAGTTATAGCCGATGTCAGGAACACAAGCGTCAGGCGTCAGTGTCTAACACACGCCTAGTATTGTTTCTGATATGACTGGGTTGTAACACGCTTTGAATAACACACTTGTTGCAGATTGAAAATTCTATTCTTTGTCCAAATAGAAATTCAACTTTGTATTGAGATAAAAGTTTATAGAAAAGGCTGATTACATTTTATAATTTTCCCCAGGGTTATGCTTGTCTTCTTATGACTAACTATTGTCAACAACACGTATTAAAGAATAAGCAGCAACTGCAAGTCAAAGTGAAACTTACCTATGATTTCTAAATATGAACCATATTGCCAAAACAAATAATGTTTATATGAAAACGAAATGAAGTAACTGTTACAGGAAACATTCAATATTGTGATATGAGTAATCATGCAGATTCAGAGATCGATGCATTTGCCTCTTAACATATATATAAGTATAGTTCTTAAAACGAGGGGCAAAAACAAACAATGTGCAAACATTAATGTTCTTTCTTTCCAAATGAAAATGATGGCGATCGCTGTGCTTTTTACTTTGCCTCGAATTCACATCAAAGTCGTACACGTATGAGTATTGATATTATTTTAGTTTTGTTGAATCATCATTTACGTCAGTGTATAAGAAATAGAGAATCTCACCAGAGTGTATTTTGATATCAACTATATCAACACGAGATGATAAAAGCGGGAAACATTTTCTTTATCATCCAACATCATTCTTCCAACATTTTCAGTTTGTAGGCAGTAATAAGCAGTGTCTTAAGTGTCAAAAAGTACTGCTAACAGCTTCAGTAGCAGAGCCATTAGTGATGTCATTTGATTGTGACGTCATTGTAACCGGTGACGTCACAATGGTCTGCAAAGCATTGTTATGTAATTTCATTGCAGCGATATCTACAGTGTAGATATCGTTTGATCTAATCCAAGCGATATATCCTGTGGGAGCCAGTTTTGGTGATAAAACAATATAGTCTTAATATGTCAAAGCAACTACATTTCTCACTGACGTATTTCCATCAATTGAAAACGAGCAGTGCACCGATGAGAATAGCTTACAATTCCCACTGCTCTTCACAATACGATTCCAGCGTTTAATGTTGCATTTCCTTGTTTTACAAATATCCATTACCTTTTAAACACATAATATCTTGCGATATTACCCTCCATCCAGTGCCAACTCTACAGTCACTGCCTACCTGTTGACATAACATAGTTACCTGTACAGTCCGCTTGTGCCCATCCTGTATCACATCCCCTGTCACAGTTCCCTGTTGCGCTACAGGAAGAGTTCCCCACACAGTGTCTGGAGGCACATGTCTTGTCACAGTTAGCTCCGTAATGATTTATATCACATGCTGGAAAATTATCGAAGGAGCATTATGCTGTCATATGCCGTGAACCTAAGGTTGGAAACATGGCTGAATTTATGTCAATGTTTATCTTCATATGTTAACTCTGATCTTTGCCTTTTTTAACATGTACAAAATCTAGCCTCCCTAATTTGTTTTTTGTTATGCCTGGAATACTATCATTACATAGTAAGCCTCTCATACAGGAGAATCATTATGTTCAACAAGTTCGTACAGTTTTGAAACATATTTCAATGTTTTGCTGCGTTCAATTTATAATGTAAACTACGGTTTTCACCTTCTCTGCAGTCTTCATCCATCGATCCTGGCTTACACCCGGAAACACATGTTCCTCTTATGTGATCACATGGCGAGTCTCCTGCACACTTCCTGTCAATACAAGAGTGGCTGCAGTTCTGTCCATAGCTTCCATTTGTGCATGCTGTAAAATCATAATGTCATAAGTATATTACCAAGCATCTATTGCTAATAAGTGTTATGTTACTGCTTCAAACACATACGGGTATCATAGCACATCATCACACCTGATTCATTATAAAGTATTCAGGACAATTTGTTAAGAAATAAATTACTATCTTTCCGAATGAAAGCTATGTTGATCGATTTCCTTTTTACTGTTTCACTAATTCACTCCTTACCTTGTCAACATAATTTAAGGAAACAATATATTCTTGATATGTCAATGTATCTAAATTATGGCAAATAGATACACACGTCTTCACTGGCGTAATTCCATTAATTTGAACAGTATAATAGTCGGAATTGTACAATCGACTCTGCTTCATGCAGAGATTTCTATTGGATATGGAAAGGGTTTTGTCGCTGTATTGCCATTAAATTGGGATGTGTAGCACATCGAATAGATCAGCTATCAATTCCCACTGCTCTTCACACTTCCATTCCAACGCTTGATGTTGCATTTCTTTGTATTACAGATATTCAATATCTTTTCAAACACATAATACCTTGCTATATTACCGTCCAGCCACTGCCAACTCTCTACTCACAGCCAGCCTTCTTGCTATAACACACAGTCCCCGGTTGAGCTGGAATACTATTATAAAATAGTAACCCTCTCATAAAGGAGAGTCACAACGTTCAGCAATTGGGTACAATTTCGATACATATTTCAATATTTTGCTGCGTTTAATATATAATATAAACGACGGTTATAACCTTCTCTGCAGTCTTCACCCATCCACCCTGGCTCACACCCGGAAACACATGTCCCTCGTACGTGATCACATGGCGAGTCTCCCGCACACTTCCTGTCGGTACACGAGTTGCTGCAGCTCTGTCCATAGCTTCCACTTGAGCATGCTGTGGAGGAATAACAAAGAGTATATTACAAAGCGTCTATTGCTAAGAAGTGTTATGTTTATTACTTGTCTTAATGATCACATCTTTAATGTTATCTAACTCCTCTAAAAACAATATGTAGTTTGTGCCATCGCAATGGATTGGGTAAAACAGGATAGCATCAGCGGTAATGTGTTCTAAATGGTTAGTTTTCAAATGTATGATCAAACCGTTTCCCAATGCCCTCAAAGGAAAACCGTAAGCGGGCAACAGCACATCATACAATGGTTAAATAATATTTAACAGTGTTTGAACATAGCTTTCATGAACATAATACAAAAGGTATTATTTCAGTTTTTCAAGCAAAAAGGATGAATCCCTATCGTACTTGTTCTGATTATAAGTCGGTCTCCAAGCCAGAATGTATCATTCAGAATGTCACAGTCTCCGGTTGAGCTGGAATACTATTATAAAATAGTAACCCTCTCATAAAGGAGAGTCACAACGTTCAGCAATTGGGTACAATTTCGATACATATTTCAATGTTTTGCTGCGTTTAATATATAATATAAACGATGGTTATAACCTTCTCTGCAGTCTTCACCCATCCACCCTGGCTCACACCCGGAAACACATGTCCCTCGTACGTGATCACATGGCGAGTCTCCCGCACACTTCCTGTCGGTACACGAGTTGCTGCAGCTCTGTCCATAGCTTCCACTTGAGCATGCTGTGGAGGAATAACAAAGAGTATATTACAAAGCGTCTATTGCTAAGAAGTGTTATGTTTATTACTTGTCTTAATGATCACATCTTTAATGTTATCTAACTCCTCTATAAACAATATGTAGTTTGTGCCATCGCCATGGATCGGGTAAAACAGGATAGCATCAGCGGTAATGTGTTTTAAATGGTTATTTTTCAAATGTATGATCAAACCGTTTCCCAATGCCCTCAAAGGAAAACCGTAAGCGGGCAACAGCACATCATAAAATGGTTAAATAATATTTAACAGTGTTTGAACATAGCTGTCATGAACATAATACAAAAGGTATTATTTCAGTTTTTCAAGCAAAAAGGATGAATCCCTATCGTACTTGTTCTGATTATAAGCCAGAATGTATCATTCTAAATGTATCTCAGATGTTCTTCATTTTTTGTTCTTAAACGATGTTTCGTGACCTTGATGTTATTTGTTTGCGATACGTTTTATGTTAAACTTCAGGCTTACATTTTTCTTTAACGACTAAACGTATCTGAAAAGCATGTAAACCGATTTTGTCCAAATGTTGGTCATGTATGTAGACTTAGAACCACATATTCAAGGTCTCAGGAAATAATTAATCTAATATGACATAACACCATATTGCGTGTTATGTTACTGCCTTTGCAGTCAATGTAGGGACTAGGCTACCAAAACGAAATAGATTGAAACACCCATCTATCTGTCTTTACATCGGCAGAGGACCTAAAATATAGCCAAGCAGAGTTTTAACAGTTTAGTTAGTTTGAACGTCTATCACTGAAAACATGTGTGCTTTCTATTGCAAAATGACCCTTAAATTTGGAACTTAGTCTGCCAATCATAGTCTGGACAATCGTCTCTGAAGTCAACAGGAGAAGGGATATGTTGTTTTACGTTTCCACGCAAAAGACAGAAATCCTAGTGTATTTATTGGGACAAGTTTTATCAAATAAATATAAGCGACAAAACCCTTCTCATATTCATAAGAAACCTCTGCCGAAAACAGAGTAATTATATGATTCCGATTATATCACGAGCAAGTGTTCAACTGTTCAAACTCCAGTGTAATTGTTCAGAATAGCGCTATTCGCCTACCTTTTTACGTTATGCCTATTGAATTGAACTTGTCTGTGATGATGAATGATGTTGAGAGCTTGTGCACAACAGAAACTAAAATGACTTTATGCTGAATGCTGAATGGTCAATAATCTTTGATTGAAATTTGGGCACTTGGTATTTTAAAATAAATCACTTTCTGATTTTGACAAAATTAAACTTAAAATTTAATGTGCATGGAGACCTTAATGAAGTTTCACAAAACAAATGCATTTGGTCACAAGATTTTGTGACCCTTTCAATTACCTTTGTCCTTTAAAGATCTTCTTCATAACCTCTGGTAATAACACGTTGAGATTGTGTAGATGCAATGTCTATGTACATCATAATGTAATCAAACTTATTTATTAATCACATTGTTTCGCGGTCATATTTGATTCATATTTCTATGACTAGTAAGTTAGAAGTATGTACATGTAACGGCTAGTTGGACCTTAATGCAGTGAGATAAAACTATAACAGCTGTCGGTCACGCGCCTATATTGACTTGAAGAGATCAATTATAATCAATACACATTTATCAATTAGGTTAGCTAGCTACAAGGGTGGTTCTGGTTCGTACACCTTCAACTGTCATATGATTTTGTTTGAACCGGAAGTGACGCCATTATATCTTGAATGTCCATAATATGATATAAAGTGAGCTGGAGACCTGGGAATTTTGATTAGTAGGCCACATATTCCTACTCTCATTAAAAATATGTTGTAGTTGGGGTTTTTTTTAACTAGAAGTGGCATCGTAAGTGTCCACAATTTTGTTACAATGTGAACTTGAGACATGGTTTAATATCCATGTTGGCATACATGGATGTCAACTCGAATGGTCTCACTTTTGGTTATACATAAAAAGAAACTCGGAACGAAACATGTCTATTACTTAAACTCCATTGCTACTTCTGGCGTGATTAAGGCAATTCCAGCTTCGGTCGGTTTCATGATTCTTTCTCAATTTGTAACAGAGATATTAGTACTTCTGGTGCATTACAACTAAAACCCAAGTCCTATGTCTCTGGTTCACAATGTAAAAAAGGTCTTAGTACTTCCGATTTTGTGGAACTCCCTTGCAGTTTCTGAAAACACTACACTAAAACTTTAAAACACGAAGCTCTAGCTTCGCAACTTTGTCATTGCAGCACTCTCTAAGCCCGTCTCAACAAAGATGTTATATCTTAGTAATAACATTTCCGGCTAGTAAAAACCCATCCCACTTCACCAGAGGACCACAACTCTAAGTTCTACATCAATCTGCACCTATACCAAATGTCTATACAACTTCTGTTTTTTAGATACCACTGCCGATAAATCCAAACAGATCCATTAAGCATTCATAACGCAAAGAAATACACTTGTTTTCCATTTGAAAGAAAGTTACATCATATTTAAATATATACAGAGACATAAAATGCACCCTGAAAATCTTGAATTGTGGCTGCCAAGCCATATGATTTATGACCAAAGGCAAAGACGAAGGGAGCTAACACTTGCCAGATTTGACAGTTACTGGTTGATGTGTTGACGTGGAAAAGGGTAAACTATGTCGGTTTATGTAATATTATCTGAATTATCTGTCCCGAGAACAATGAGTCCATTTGTGTATGCAATACATCCTTATAGTCTACACACACAGGACGCAGTTGAACAGAAATAAGGATTACTGGTTGTTACTCTGGAACTGCTGGAACACAGCGTAATATGAATACGTTTGATAACAATGAGATACATTTATAAACAAGAATTGATCAAGAAGTCCTCAACTACATTTAAAAAAGAGAGATTACAACTGTTCCCAAAAAGGATGGGTCAAACTCTACAAGTTTTGCTAAGAAAGTAATTAACTCTTGTTGTAATTAGAGGACTATGACACCAGATATCACTGTTTACAGAACTGGACCGACCTTATTTTTGAAATCTGTGAGGCGAGAAGGGGTGTGTGGCGTGGACTTGGAGACTAGATATTTAAGAAAAAATAGAAATTTTACATATAAAAGTGACAATATGAGCCTAATTGTTCTTAAAGCCACTTGCAACATTACCCAAACTGCGTGGTATGTTGCACATAATATACATCACTAGTATGTTTTATTTAGATTCGACTATTTACAGGTAGAACATAGTTACGTGCGTTATTAAACATGTTCAAGATCAAGATTGTTTGCAGTGCAGTACAGTAGATTTAATGGATGCTCTTTCAAAAGTTCCAACCTGGTTTGTCATACATGAGTCTTACTTGTATGATCACACACTTTTAAGATTAATATGTTGAGCTGGGTGTTTGCGGAATGATTCATTGCCATGTTGCCATAACGTAGCTGTGGTGTTGCTGACTACTATACATTTTACTAACATATACCAATTCATCAATCACGTTTTGTTAAAAGCAATGACGTGACAATAGTCCAGGACTCCTAATCCCGAGGAATCAATGTTCTGGGCAAGGGAGAAGTGTCCGACTGGTCTACAGTCTCCAGGACACACACCACTGACTGAATCTCCTCACCTGTATCACACCTGTCTCCCTGCCACCCTGGTCTACAGTCTCCAGGACACACACCACAGACTGAATCTCCTCACCTGTATCACACCTGTCTCCCTGCCACCCTGGTCTAAAGTCTCCAGGACACACACCACTGACTGAATCTCCTCACCTGTATCACATCTCTCTCCCTGCCACCCTGGTCTACAGTATCCTGGACACACACCACTGACTGGGTCACACGTTGCTTGGAGGCAATGGCAGAACTGAGTGCAGCTATCGCCGAAGACTCCTGGGCTACAAACTTGAAATAAGATGATAGTGAATAGTATTGCTTCCAATGGCTGTATTAACAATCTTATCAGTTAGCTTAACAGTACCAAATATGATATATTATCAAACATGAGAAGGAAATCAATAACGATTTTTGTTGGGTCTTTACTATTTCGTTTTACAGCTTGTTTAAATTAGATGTAGCTGGGTGTGTTGGAGGGTGTTACTGTACATTAAATTACATAAAGAATGTAGGCCATCCGCCTATGTTCACTAATTAGAATGTTTCAATACGACAGCGTACCATTTTTATGTAGCTATATTATATTGTCTGCTCTGACGTCAAAACACGAGGGAGTTGTCTAATGTACAAAGAGAAAACGGCATAACTGCGCTATGTTTAACTGTAAGCCATTGTAAATCCGCATGCGTCATGTCCGTGGTAAACATTTGCTATGGCTCACGACGATACGTTCTATTTTATTTTCGATCCTGTGTACCTAAACAGTTCCCATACAGCTATCGACATTGATTTAGATTATCATCTAAAATGTCCTGAAGACATAAGTTGGTAATGATAAAGTGATGAAATCGGATACGTTAAGGACAGAAAGTAAGGTTTTCTCAACACTCATACTGAAGCAGTGAAAATACAAATATTCAATTCACGATTGAAACAGTAAACCACTTCATGAAATGAATGTGTTGTGTACTGATTCAACCGCACACCAAAGAAAGTAAAAAATATGTACAACGATGTTGATGTTGACAGTAGGTTTTTCCTTGATGCAGGGATTGCATACATGCATACACGAGTCATGTAAGTTGAATAATCAGAATCAATCTGCGCCATTTGTTTTTATATTACCGTTGATACTACGTAGAAAGGAAGAACGGTACCATCGCCGGTCACGTACTTTTTAACATGGTCCAAAATGGTCGTTTGGATCAGATTTTGTACGGCATTTCGAAAACGAATATACAATTACTGGAGACTCTTAAGGATTATCATTGGTGCTTGGATAAAGAGCAGACATCAGATACTTTTGAACTTCCTATGAAGCTATCCGTTATTCGAATAAATAATTAAATTGAGAATGAAGAATTTGCAAAATGCGCAAAAAGGCGATTTTTTGCTGTACATTATTTCGTTTATTGCACATATACTTTGCCTAAAATAATTGTTAATGGTATAAGAGATACTTTCCCGCAGAAACTGTGACGTGTATTTGTGTGCGTGAAACGGATTAAGGACATAATCTCATCCAGCCAAATTCTCCGGTGTAGTCACACAGCCTACCGTTACGAATAAAACTATGAAATGTATAACCTAGAGAATGCAAATGACATCTTTTAAAACTTGCTACAGGTTTATTCTACGTACTTACCTTTCATTGGTCCTATTTTGAGTGGTGACACTTAGGTTTCCGAAAAGCAGAAGTTGCCGACGTAAATCGGAGTAGCCATTTTTTGTTTGAAAATAACGTGTAAATATGCTATCAACAATTATCCGTACCATAAATCTCCACCTCACACAGATTTAGCACTGTGCTGTGTGTGATGGTGAAGTATCTCCCTGTGCCACCACACGGCACGTCGTACACGCTGTTGTTTGTTTTAGCTGTGTCAGAGGGGAAGGTGTAGCAGTTGACGCCGGGCGTGGGGCTGCTGGAGTTACTCAGGGAGAGGACAGCAGTCCTGATCCGCTCAATATCTAAAACAGGCAATGAAATAAATGACATACTGACGAAGGGTGACAATGTGTTTCTTTAACAATGACAACTAGCATATCAAAGTGATTCAGTTCACCTATCATCTTTTTGCTAAACATGTGTGAACGTCAAATAAGACCATGTGACCACATTTAGTAAAAATGTGTAGGAAACATTTAAAAATATTTTTGATCAGCATGCAGTGTGCGAGCTTAGCCTCAGTTTTGTAATTGATATCTTTTCCCGTAAGAACCAAGCTTCGTTCTCAAGTGCGACCTACAAACAGTAAATAGAGTTTGCTAGCAGATGACATGTTCACTCTCTAGTCTCTGTCAACTGGATAAACAGAGGTTTCTACTAAAATAACTGTGTTTATGTACTTTTATTAGTTTTTCATGTTACGAAATATATTCACTGAATATTAATGCTTTCACCTGGGTGATAAGGTGTATTCATTTCATGATGAGGACCATCTTTGATAAAAAATGTTCCCAACTCTATGCATACCTGACAGGGACTACATGGGCTACCATAATTATACGATGTCTTACATTTTTTCTCAGGAGGAATACCATCATTCCAGCTTTTGTTTTTATTTTCTTTCTGACTTTTTGGATGCCATAATGCACATACATTCACAAGATGCAAAATTCTACGAGAGTTTAAACTTTCTACACAATAGTAATGCATACACAAGCCTTATTGGTAAAAATGTACTCTTGATATTTTTCACTTCAAAGTTCATTAGTTTTAGAGGTATCAGAATTCCAATATGTTCATACCTTTCTTGACAAATCTCCAGTGGTGCAGTTGGAAGTTGCGTCATGATAAATAGTTAGTTAGAGACTGGTATTCCAAGTGAGTGCCAAGAAAATAACACTTGAAACACACCATTTAGCCACGATTGAGCATAAAAGATGCAATAGCCAAGGCATAATCGAAAAGTAATCGTCCACCACAACAGTAACAGTAGTATACTGCTACAGCAGACGATAGGTTTGAGCCAATCATTTTACTGATAGAGGTCACGTGACTAAGACCTTGACTTCTTCCGGTGCTGTGAAGGGTTACTATTCCTAATTAAAACTAACAAACAAATACATATTTGAGATTTAAGTTCTGATTTATTAAGCGCAAATGTCTGTTCAGTGTGATAACATTGACAAACTATGTCCAGCTTAAGACAGAAAGAACCAAATGTCAAACACCGCAACCTGTAAACCATCAGTTTAGAACCCTGACACACAAATTAGACCCGCAATGACATATCAGTCAACATAAATTTAAACAAATGGTGTTAAACTGCCCTAAAGTAACATATCTGTCACTGAAATGTGAAGCTATCAGTAATGTGCCAGATATATTTATGTTTCTGGCCGCTCTGTGTGGGACTTCTTGGTCACTGCGAGGGGGAAAGTGGGGACTGTCTTTTATCCAATTAAAACATGTTTACAACTGTAGCTCCTCCTATTTTAAGTTGGATATAGGAAGCTTAGTGATCAGTGATTGCAGGAAAGATAAGAATTGGCCCCTCCTCCCCTTAAAATAAATGGAACCCATATTTTTGTGAATGACTTCTACCCTGTGAGAGAATATTTTGAGGTCACGTGACTTCAATAAACATGTTCTCACAACTTTTACAGAGCATGGACGGGTAATATTTTGGTATTATGTTGATAAATTGACATATGTGGAAATGGGAAATATATGAAAACATTACATGTTCAAATAGGATTTGTAAAAAAAGGTTTATATGAGGTTGGTGTAGAGCACAGGATTTTTCACTTCCTGTGACAGAGGTTGTGATGTCACTATGGGGATTTTAGCATTGAATCTATTTATAACCTGCGTGAAAGCGAGGCTTGGTTTTCATCTAGGGCTGAGCTCGCACACTGATGTACTAACATATTTTGTGACGCCTCAACGTAATATCCAAAAAAATCAAATAACAATGTCCGAACTGATACATACGTCCTACCCGGTTGTATATCCTGACGTCATGTATCCTGTACTGCTGTCCCAGGTCCACTGTCCACATAGCTCTTTGATTAAAAGTAGAGTGAAAACAGGAGTTGCCGGACACATACTGGTCCCGGTTCCCATCTACAACTTTGTCTGCAGTCCAGCTGTCCTTTGCGTAGTTAGTTATGGACGAAGTTGCTGTCTTGTTGAAGGCGACGTTCCCTTGTACCAAAATAAAAACGAATATAAATTTACTTTCACATTGTTATTCATTATGAGGGAAAAGTACGTGTTTTAACTCCCTAGGAATTTAATCTTGGTGGATCCGACAGACCGTATTTCCATAGATACATGTATGGGATACACGTACCAGGCCTTTCCCAGAATGGGTTGTATTGTCCCGAAGTTATACAGGTTACATAATTTTGGGCATATAATTATTTGAAAAGGTTAACTTCAAAGAAGAGAATCTGTCCACGAGAAAGAGAAAATTACGGGAAATCATTCATTAGTTTTTATATTTACTATGTCCATAAACATGACGTATTTTTCGATTGGTATTGAGTATTGATGCACAGAAAGTTCAAAATTGAAGCCCCCATCTTCATTTGATAAACTAATCAGGGGGACATCAAAGTAACAGATATAAAACGAACCAGAACAACATTCGATCTAGCTTATCGAAAATGGCATTGTGATCATGTTCAACTCGTACGCTTACAGATACCACATACATGTATGCGATGTCGGCGAAATGTAACATTTGTTGAAGACAGTGAAGTTGCGCTGGAGAGGCTTTGTTCGAAAATAGCCGGAAAGATGAAATAGTGAAGATGCATAGCTGGTCTTAAATAACGCAAGATACGAAAATATACGGAAGTTACGTTTGTAAAGGGCTATCCAAGTTTTGACTAAACTTAGTATCTTATAAATAGTATTTTCAAGCTCAATATACGAATCATGTGCAAGAATGTTATGCAGAGTGTCTGTTTGATTATGTTTTGTCTCTGAATTTTCTATCGATTTTGTACGTGAGGCAATATGTCGTCCGGAAGACTAAGTTTAGTTTTAAAAGTATGTGAAATAGCAATAGCTGATACTCGGTGCAAAAATGATGTTTGTTTGCCATTTGCGACGGTACTTCTAGCCACTGGTGCCTTAAAAATACCAAAATGTATTGACAAGAGGGTGGTATCCGGGAGGTCATTATCTGCTGATTGGATTATTCATCATTCGGGAGCGATTCAGAAGGGGTGATGGTCTGATAACGCCCGCAGTTCGTAAACATATCTCCTTTCAAATCTAATCTTGTGACAGGAAAAACACCTTTCTGACAGGTTTGCCCATTCCCACCAAACCATCCAGGATCACATGCACCGCTGCAGACTCCGGTTGTCTGGTTACAGGTCGGAGTACAGTGACAGGAGTAGCTACAGGTGTCTCCGAACCTTCCTATCGGGCAGCTGATACCTGAAAAATGTAAAACAAAGGTTGGAATCAGGTTAATGTTCCCGCAATGCTCTTCAAGACCCATTACCCATAAACACATGTTCAAATGTAAGCATGGATCAGTCAAATACTTCATACAGCCAGATAGGGTGGTCGGGTAGCCTAGTAGTTAAAGCGTTCGCTCGTTAAGCCGAAGACCCAGGTTCGATTCCCGACAATGGATTTACGTACGTTTCACACAACTGAACAGATTGAAAGTGATTAAATTATTCATGAATCTTTCAGATTTACATGAGTCCACGATAGAGCTGATAACTTCAGATATAATTTGACAACAGATGAAGTATCTTATTTACTTAAAAGGGCAGAAAATACAGCCGTAAATACAGCATTCGTTAGCATCGATGCTAGTGTAAAATATATCACTGAAGCCTTTCGAAGGAACAAAGATTTGGTTTCATTGGAAAGTTATCAACGCATCCAGAATCAGTATAATGAAACACATTGACAAAAGAAAGTTGAATAATATGAAATAAAACAGGAACATAGCAAACATTCATAATTCAAAAGTATTTTGGTCAACTCTTAAAAAGCTAGGGACAACTCCACACAGTCATAATAATATTAGTATCGAAAATTGGTATATTCACTTTAAAAAGTTACCAGCTCATGATGACAGTGATCATGCCCTTTTTCTGGATTTGCAGACGACAATATAACATATGATGATATCGAATTTCCACGAGACATCCTCGAGACTCCGATAACGAGTGATGAAATAAGAGAAAGCATTAAAAATGGTAAATCAGCTGGATATGACAAACTCATATCAGAGTTTTTTAAACATGCTACAGATATCCTTGTACCATATCTATAGTTGATTTTAATATTATGCTGGAAACATCATATCTTTCTAAAGACTGGGCACTTGGTATAATCGCCCCTCTCCATAAACAGGGTTTAGTGAATGATACAAATAAACATCAAGGCATTGTGTTATCAAGCATTTTTAGCAAAGTGTTCATATATATCATTAACAAAAGGTAAGTATACTTGGCTGATGCTTATGAAAAAGAACCAAGCAAAGAAGGGTGGTAAAGTATACGCATTTATTTTACAGATTTCTCTAAAGCTTTTGATTCTGTTAGCAGAAAAAAAATATGGTCACGTTTCAAAGCACATGGTCGTATCAGTAAAATTGATAGTTAACGTGTTGTATGCATCAGAATGTAAAGGTTTGTGTGCGAAATAACGGTACTGTGTCTGACACATTTGAAAGCAAAATTGGCGTTAAGCATGGGTACATTTTAAGTCAGTTTTTGTTCACCTTCTTTATCAATGAATTAGCTCAACAAATTCAGTAGAACTGTTCTGATGGCATCCAACTTCACCCGGAAACTATACAGTTATTTCTTCTTTTGTTTGCCGATGATGTAGTAAAGTTTTCAAGCTACAAAATTGATTAATCAGCTGGAATGTTATTGCAAAGAATGGAATTTATCTGTCAACAAGAATAAGACAAAAGGTATTGTTTTTAAAAATGGTGGTACACTGGCTAGAAGGAAGAAATGGTTTTATCACCAATGTTGTATCGTTCTATAAGTTCTCAGGTGTATAGTTTACAAATATATTGTCATGGAAGAGGCATGCTAACACAGCTGCAGTACAAACTAAGAACATCCTTATTGCAATTCTTCAACATGTGAAATTAAGCCCAATTTTGTTATATGGAGCAGAGGTTTGGGAATTAGAAATGATTGATGTTATGAGTTGAATCCACGAAATCCGTGAAAATGTATTTAACATGTGATAGGATCTTCAACGTTTATAACTTTTTTCCTCTTCTTGAAATGTCTCAAGCTCAGTAATCCTGACGTCTAACACATAGCATTCGCGACCTGAGTGTCTTGGCTCTTGATGAGTTCATGCCATGTGGGGATGCTATTCATACATTAATATTGTCCCCACGACTAAAATGCATGTGATTAGCTGGATGTTAACACATTTCATGTGTGGGTCTCCTCAACGATTGAGAAACAACATTCGTAAATAAAATGTACACACATCCACACCTTTTGAATTAAATGAACGTTTGCTAACTTAATAGTGTTAAGTATTGCTAATATTATGTTTTCATTATGATTCTAATAACACAATAAAATACATTGCTCGGACCGTTCGGCAGATCTGCCGACCGAGGTTTCAAGATTTAGATTACTATTGCATACAACAATTGTAACAACACTTGAACGAATATTTAGACCATACACAAAGTTTGAAAAGTCAAAAAGTATTTCCGTTTTGTCTGACACCTTTTATTTGGCGACATTTAATTGAAGATTAATTTTTAATTAGGAAAACCTAGTTTATAAATATATTTTCTGAACAGTGCAATTGTCAATCATACAAGTGTCTAAAATGTGTTCGAGCAATTAAAATAGGAAAATATAGCAGAAAAACAGAATATGTGTTTCACTTAGTATATCTAGAACTATTGATACTCACATTGATGAGACCCGTGAAGATTCCGGGGTAGAATAGGTCTTCGGCAACCCTTGCTTGCTGTAAAAGCTGACTATGCTTGTTGTAAAAGGCGACTAACGGGATCGGATGGCTCGCTGACTTGGTTGATGCAAATCATCGATCCGAATTGTGTGGATCGATGCTCATGTAATAATCACTGGATTGTCTGGTCAAGACTCTATTATTTACAGACCGCCGTCATATAGCTGTAATATTGCTGAGTACGGCGTTAAACAACCAACCAACCAACCAACCACATTGATGAACGACATGGTCTGGTCTGTCTACCGGTACTATTTAAAAACAAACCCATATGTATATGATTTAATACAACATGCAACCTCGAAATCCTGTCATTATGGAGCAAGAGTTGTGTATGCATGGGTACCCGAGAGGGAATGAGTACGAAATTGCACCTTCCGCCGCAATCAACTTTACCTCACTTTACGTGCTTTGCTCTTGTTTCTTATTTATGAATGATTATTACGTAATTAATTTACAAACCATTTAATATAAACTGTATACTGTACACAGAAAAACAGGAAATTTACAATATAAGTAAATGGGCGAATGATTGATATGTTATAGGTCGATACTTTCAGTCACGCACTACAGTTAACAGGTTAACGTTACCAAGGCAATATTACCAACTAAATCCTGAAAGATACATCAGTAATCTAGGAACTGACTTCTGCGAAGTGGATTTACACCAGTTTTTACTTTTGTCACTCAATAAATGCAAGAACTTAATTGAGGTCATTTCTGTTAAAAAAATAATAACAACTTTCACAGAATTCTTATTAACACTTTAATCGTCTTATGAAACTTGGTGTCTTGGTACCTGTGGATGAACCAACAGATTGGGTCAGCTCATTAGTGATAGTACTAAAGAAATCAGGGGAAATTAGAATTTGTACTGACCCTAAGTGCTTACACAAGACCAAATAGCGTCCATTCCAATTTGGAATGATCGTTGGATTTCTTTGGAAAGATCGCTCATTCCAACATTTCCAAAGCTTGGAAAGATCGATCTTTCCAAAAAATCCAAAATTGGAATGGCAACATTTCCAAGCATATTTCCAAAATTGGAAATGTTTGGAATGGCTTGGAATGGTTTGGAATGGTTTGGAATGGTTTGGAAATATGGTTAGAAGGAAAAAGTTAAAATATGTTTTATCAGTAATTTGGACAATAACAACAGTTATTTATTGAGTTTAAACTATATAATAATATATTTATCTCAAACATTCACTACTTGTCTGTGTAGCGAGGGGCTTTTACAGTCTCAGTCCCTAAGGTGGGAGAGAGACCCGCACTTGACTCGACAAGACCCTAATAGGTCTCAAGATTAAGTATTCGGCTGGATGGCAGCTGCCATTTAATGACAAAACAGACGGTCGTCTAGACGGCTCACATGTAAGTGCGCCGACATGTGCCTAAGATCATAGAATGGACAATCTTTAGTAACATCTAATTGATTGTTGTCTCAGGCCAGAGCTGTGAATAATTCTGTTCATTGAACAATTGGAATTCAGGAAGTTATCAATAATTGTTTTATTTAACATGTTTACGACATAATATTATGACATCAGGACGTACTACAGACAGAACCATATATTTTAAAATCAGTTTGCAATCAGTTTAAACTCTTTAACCGCGGGAAACGAACACTGAATTATTTATGAATGCTTCAATAGAATACAAAACATGTTTTTGTTATCCTTATTACAAACAAAAAATAATAATTCCAAACCGACAGATTTCAGATAACCTGAAATTACGCTTCGTGAACAAGTCGGGCGTCCTTATAGACGTGTATTTATGTCATATAATGAGAGACTATGATTTCCAAGTCCCGATTATCATGTCAATGATATATCAGTTTTACCACATGTGCACAGACCGCCTATACTTTTGCATAACTATTCTCAAGTGAAAGTCCTATCCTCTTATCAAATATTCTGTGAGAGTAATCATCATTAATATAAGAAAACTCATTCTCATCAAAGAATACAGAACAAATGACTCAGATGCATACATTTATTACCATGCTTCATTCATCACGAAGCAGATTTACATAATTTGTGAACAGCCCTTGAACTGTGATTATGAATTTTACCATTGTCCATATTAACATAATAATATATACATATATACAAAACAGGTCAAGTTTGGAATTTTGAAATATGCCATAAAAGGTAGGGGGGGGGGGGATTCCGTCAAACAACTGTCAAACCATTTATTGCCATGTACGTACTTGCACACAGGGAGGTCAGCGCTGTCTGGGGCTCCAGGTAAATAAACATCGTGGTTTTATGACGGGAGATCAGACGAACCGTGAACCAGAGGCATGCGACGTAATTACACCAGGGTATTGTCTCTTGAACTGGCTAATTGACTTCATATAATTGGTAAATATATTCGTTTTGACTACCGTGATTCATGCGCATCCCGGCTCATTAAGTGGGCTCCAGGCCATAAAAACAAAACCACAAAAA